AACACTATAAAATCTATATATGTATTATTTTTTTAATTGTATAAATTTTTAAATATCTTTAAAAAAATCTATAAAATAAATTAAAATAATTTTAAAAGTGATTAAATATCAATAAAATTTTGTTTTTATTTCTTAAATCGAATAAAAAAATCTTAAAATTACCCATTTTTTTCATAAAATTTATGTTTTAAGAAAATAAATTAATAATTTTAATTAAACTAATTAAAAAATCTTAAATTATGTTATATAATATTTTATATCATAATTAATTTATTGAAAATATTTTCTGATGCTTATAATAAAATTTTATGTTTAAAATTATTAATACAAAATAATATTCCAAGCATCTGTATAAAGTTTAGAAATAATGTTTGTGATATATATAAACCGAACCTAATGAAGATTTTTATCAATTTTCAAGCAAGGTTTTCCTTCTACGTTTTCAATGATTTACTGTAGAGCATTTAAAATACTTTTTTTCATTTTAAAAGATTATAAAATCATTATTCTTTATTAAAAATTATTGTCATTGTTTACTATCTAATTTAATATACTAAAGTTTTTTGAAAAAAAAAGCATGTTTTTAAAAAATGTTTTTATTCATTATTGCTTTATATTTTATTTATGTAAAAATGTATTTATCCGTTACCTCTATAGTTTAGAATTATTTTTTTGTTATTCTATTTTTAAAAATAATATATATTTAATATAAAAAATACACACAAAAATTAAAAAACTAATTTTAAACTAATGAACACTTTTTGAATTAAAAAACCTTTGATAAATTTTTGTAACTTTAATCAGTTTTTAGATCTTTAAAATATAAAAAACTTATTTCTATATAATTCAGAATGGTGTACAATGGTAAAAAAATTGCTGCCAAAATGTTTTTATAATTATAAAAAACACTTTCTAATAACGTTTTAAAATATTTTTATAATATATAAATAAAATAAGTAAAAAATAAATTAAAATCTTAATACATACAAGAGATTTTTTGAGATGAGAAACTTTATTTTTTTCTTCAAAATTAATTTATTAAAGATTTTTACTTTATAAAAAATTCTATAAACCAGGCTTTAATATTAGTTATAAATAATATAAAGTCTTGAATTACTGAAACTGATTCTACTAAAAGAATTTAATATTTCATATAGTATAGTTCAAAGTTTATGAAACAATTAGAGAGCAACTTTCTTTATTTCATATAAATTATTTAATTACAAAAAACCAACACTGCTTTTTTATAAAATGTTTAAAATTGAAGAAACCAAAAAACCTTTTATTTCTTTTAAATAATACACATTAAGTAATTACAAACAAGTTTTATTTAAAAGTAATTGTTTTATATTTTTAAATTTTGAAGAAACATGGAATAAAAACTATCATTAAGTAATAAATAAATTATTGTGAATTGTAAATTTTAAAAAAAAGATATAAGAGAAGTAGAAATAAAAAATAGTATTAAGTTTGATAATAAATAAAAATAGTTATAAAAAAATGTTGATTTGAAAGTAAGATAAAAATCTAGAAAAGTATTTAAAAGTTATAATTTTATCAGCTATAAAGCACTGAAATAATGATCGAAACGAATAAATTTTATATTTTATCATATTAAACTTTGCGTTTATAAAAGATAATAAATTAAAGTAGCTAAACATAAATAAATATGTTTTATTATAAAGACTAGAAAAACAAACTAAAAAATTTTATATTTATGGAAAAAACGACTTTAAAAAATATTTCACGTAATGTAGAATTATTATAAAAAATATATGTCAATATCTTTATACGTATTAAAATATAAATTTAAGATAATCAAACATATGATTGTATATATAAGTTAC